GTTTTCGGATTGCCATTTTACGAAAATTTCATCCGCGGGATTCGGCACCCATGTATAGATATTTTGAATTGCCATTTTATGGAATTTGCGTCCGCAGGATTCAGCACCCATGTGTAATTATTTTCGAATGGCCATTTTACGGAGATTTCATCCGCAGGACCCAGAACCCATGTATTCGAATACTCAACTTGATTAGTTTTAATTCACCTAATCATCATGCAGTGTCTACAACAATTAAGACTATCCTCCACCGATAGCCCAAAGCAGTTATTTCTAAACAGATAATAAATACACCAATAGATAGATTATCAACATTTTCAAATGTGAGTGATTAATAAATCTAACTCTACCATTCAACTACACAATGAGCCAATTTCATTATTCCCAACTCAATTTCATAAATCCATAATATTCCCAAATTGATTATACAAAAATTAGGACTTTCTCCCCTTTTTTCTCTACAATGACCCAAAGGTCCCAAATATCCTCAACAAAAACAACAACAACAACATCATTTTAAGACCCAAGATACACATTATGAGTCAAATAACCAAACCCTTCTTTATACATTTGAAACCCTAACACCCAAAATCACCCAACTTTAACATTAAATCAAAATGACTAAATATTTATGTCAAAGATCATATAAATGAGTAGCTATCCCTACCTCAAAGTTTGAAGCCCAAAAGGGGATGATGAAGAAATCACGAAATGCTCCAAAATCTAAGATTTTCGGATTGATAGGAAGCCCAAGCCAAGCTCTATACTCTTTGCAAAGACACTAAGGGAGTAGATCACTCAAGCTAGATCAATCCCCAGAGAGAAGGTATTTTCTAGAGAGCGGAGCTCTCAAAAGAGGGTTTAGAAAAGTATGAGAGAGAATGGAAATGTGAAAAGTGATTCAAAATCACCCAGCTGCCATCTGATAAACGACTATCCCACTTGAGCGGAGAATAGGACGCTCGAGCGTCAAGCACAAAAAACTGAACCCGCTCGAGCGCAAGAATACCCGCTCGAGCGTCAAGACACAACTGTAAAACACACCCGCTCGAGCGCAAAGGAAAGCCCGCTCAAGCGTAGATTACACTCGTCCATTATTTTTACAGACATAGAACACCCGCTCGAGCGCCAAGAGGCCCGCTCGAGCGCGACCCACTCGAGCATAAGGAAATCCACTCGAGCATGAAAAACGCACCTGCAGAAGTTTTGCAGAGGCACAAAATGCTGAAAGTGTGTAAACCCCGCTCGAGCACGAAGGGACCCGCTCGAGCGGACCACCAAAAAATTGGGCAACAAGGAATGGGACTAAAGCTCAACCAACCTGTTTGAAACACGCACAATACATCCTAAAACTCAAATATATGGAGTTAAAGGATGACAACAAGACATATATAACAACCAACTCCACATAACCTAAGTCTGGATACAACAATCAAAGAAGGAAGAACCAAGATCGCTATAACCTCCCCCCCTTAAGGAATTTCGTCCCCGAAATTAAGTACAAGTTTTTCAAAAACATGATTTCTCAATTACCAACATTATTACAATGCAAAATTCAACAATTTGACCCATTACCGGTCATTCCATCTCTATTCAAGAGGCAAATTTCCATATAGTCTCCAACATGCATTATCAACATGTATCTCAAAACATATTCAATGCCAATAATACATTTGCATTTCTAAAACATCATTAACATATACAATGTTAAAATTAACTTCCATTTTAAGGCAAGTTCCAAAATATATTTCCATAAACCAAACATTTACAATGTTTTACAACTTAAGACATATTCCATGCTCTTAAAGTTCATCAATATTACAAAATTCCCAACACATGATTACACATCAACAAACATGTCCGGATATTTTTCACGGACCTCCAACTCACGTTCCCAAGTGGCCTCTTCCACTCCGTGATGTTTCCACAAAACCTTTACCAAGGGAATGGTCTTGCCTCGCAAGACTTGCTCCCGCCTATCCAAGACCCGAACCGGTCTCTCCTCATACGAGGCATCCTCATCTACCTCCAAGTCGTTCCAATCCAAAACATGCGATGGATCCGGCTCATACTTCCAAAGCATACTAACATGAAATACGTCATGCACCCCGAACAACTGTGGCGGTAAAGCTAAACGGTACGCAACCTCCCCAATCCTCTCAATGATCTCAAAGGGACCGATAAACCGAGGGGACAACTTCCCACTCTTCCCAAACCTCATCAAACCCCGCCTAGGTGATATTTTCAGAAAAACATGATCATTCGCCTCAAATGCCAAAGGCCTCCTCCTATGGTCGGCATAACTCTTTTGGCGACTCTGGGCTGTAACAAGCCTCCTACGGATAAGCTCAACTTTCTTCGCTATTTCCCTCACCAACTCCGGGCCCAACAAATGTGCATCACCCACCTCGGCCCAACAAACTGGAGACCTACACGGTCGGCCATACAAGGCCTCAAATGGTGCCATACCGATACTCGACTGAAAACTGTTGTTGTAGGCAAACTCCACCAAGGGCAAGTGCCTCTCCCACGTCCCATTAAAGTCAAGGACACAACCTTGAAGCATATCCTCAAGGATCTGAATAGTACGCTCGGACTGCCCATCAGTCTGAGGATGATAAGCCGTGCTAAAGGTTAACCGAGTGCCCAAGGCACTCTGCAAATTCTGCCACAACCTAGTAGTAAAACGTGGATCTCTATCTGAGACGATCGACACTGGGACCCCGTGCAACCTCACTACGTCCCGAATATACAAGTCGGCAAGATGATCTACCGAATCTCTTACACACATAAGGATAAAGTGCGCCGACTTAGTCAACCGGCCCACAACCACCCAAATAAAATCACTACCCCGCTGAGTCCTCGAAAGACCCACAACGAAGTCCATAGTGACATGCTCCCACTTCCACTCTGCAATAGGCAAGGGATGTAACAAACCCGCTGGCCTCTGATGTTCGGCTTTCACTTGCTGACAAGTAAGGCACTCAGACACAAACACTGCCACATCCTTCTTCATACCCCGCCACCAAAATTGACGACCCAAATCACGATACATCTTGGTGCCTCCCGGATGCACCGCAAGGCGTGAATGGTAAAACTCTCGGAGTACCTCCTCTCGACAAGACTCCAGCACAAACAAACGGTCTCGGTATCTCACACTCCGGTCGGGATACACAGACAAACCCTTCTCAACCTTCCCACTGGAGATCTTCTCTTAGAGGGATTCTACCTCAAGGTCACCTCCCTGTGCCTCTAACACTCGAGTCATAAGTGTAGGCTGCGCAACAACTAAAAACAAGGCCGCAGCCTCAGCGGATTCGCCCAGAAACAAATCAAACTGGCCAAGTGCACCCAACATCTCCCACTCCCGGATGGCTATACAAGCTACATCACTAATGGATTTCCTACTAAGGGCATCGGGCACAACATTGGCCTTTCCTAGGTGATAGTGCAACTCGAAATCGTAGTCCTCAATGAACTCCATCCATCTCCTCTGCCTCAAATTCAAGTCTCTCTGTGTAAACAAGTACTTCAAACTCTTATGGTCCGAAAATACCTCAAATCTCTCACCATAAAGGTAGTGCCTCCAAATTTTCAAGGCAAAAATTACTGCTACTAGTTCTAGGTCGTGAGTAGGGTAATTCCTCTCGTGTATTTTCAACTGACGTGAGCCATAGGCTACCATTATAGCGATCCTGGTTCTTCCTTCTTTGATTGTTGTATCCGAACTTAGGTTCCGTGGAGTTGGTTGTTGTATGTCTTGTTGTCATCCTTTAATTCCATATATTTGAGTTTTAGGATATATTGGGCGTGTTTCGAACAGGTTGGTTGAGCTTTAGTCCCATTCCTTGTTGCCCAGTTTTTTGGTGGTCCGCTCAAGCGGGTCCCTTTGAGCTCGAGCGAGGTTTACACACTTTCAGCATTTTGTGCCTCTACAAAACTTCTGCAGGTGCGTTTTTCACGCTCAAGCGGATTTCCATACGCTCGAGCGGGTCGCGCTCGAGCAGGCCTCTGGCACTCAAGCGGGTGTTCTATGTCTGTAAAAATACTGGACGAGTGTAATCTACGCTCGAGCGGGCTTTCCTTTGCACTCGAGCGGGTGTGTTTTACAATTGTGTCTTGATGCTCGAGCGGGTATTCTTGCGCTCGAGCGGGTTCAGTTTTTTTGTGCTTGACGCTCGAGCGTCTTATTCTCTGCTCGAGCGGGATAGTCGTATATCAGATGGCAGCTGGGTGATTTTGAATCACTTTTCACATTTCCCCCCTCTCTCTTACTTTTGTAAACCCTCTTTTGAGAGCTCCTCTCTCTAGAAAGTACATTCTCTCTAGGGATTGATCTAGCTTGAGTGATCTACTCTCTTAGTGTATTTACAAAGAGTGTAGAGCTTGGCTTGGGCTTCCTATCAATTCGAAAATCTTGGGTTTTGGAGCATTTCGAGATTTATTCATCATCTCCTTTGAGTTTCATCTCTTGAGGTAGGGATAACTACTCATTTTTATGAGCTTTAACCTAAGTGTTGAGTTTTTTGTATAAATGGCTTGATTTAGGAAGTTAGGGTTTGAGATGTGTTATATTGGAAAGAGGGGTTTTTGTTCTTTTGATTCAAACATACACTGCTGCAAATCAAGGATTTAGCGGCGTTTAAAAAACGCCGCGATAGGTCCTAAAAACGCCGTCAAAACATTTTGTGACGTTTGGCTCCAAACGCCGAAGACGCGGCCGTCGCTATAACTTTATGGCGCTTTAGAAACGTCGCTATATGACTAAAAGTTCTACTAAACATTATCATGACGTCACCATGCTATTTAGCGACGTTTTAAAACGCCGCCGTATCTCTTTTTAAAAGAAATCCTGCCTTTGGTGTGATATTTAGTGACCTTTTTAGAAACGCCGCGATAGCCTTGTTTTTTTTAAAAACTTTTTTTAATGTAATTGAACTACAAAATCCCTGTAATAAAACTGAAAAATAACACTTATATAAAGTTGCTATGTTTAAAAGCCTTTCTATTACATTAATGTACATAAAAGTGAGTGGTGCAAGACTCCCAACTTAACATTGTCATTCACCCAACATACATATCCACAAGAAATGCCCAAAACCAATTAAAACAAGCATATCATATGATCTCCACACATACAAATTCTCAATTGAGTGCTGAAAAAAAAATACAAATTTCTCTCTCTCTCTCTCTCTCTCTCTCTCTCTCCTGTAGAATATACAAAAGTTTCTCATCCACATCCTGCAAAGAAAATCAGAGCCAGGTGGGCAAAAAAGAAGGGAAAAAAAAAGAAAGAACCTATACTTCACTTTCTTTTACATTCAATTAAATGTTTTACACACCCAATCAAAATGAGGACCACTGTGGGCAAAAAAGAAGGGGAAAAAAAAATGTAATCGATGTACGTTTCATTCAGTCAATGACTACCAGATGAGTGTTGCATAAGGACCTAGGAAATTTCCCATATCAATAATAACCAATGCAATCAACGACAGTTCCACTAACAAGGAACCTATACTTCACTTTCTTTTTCTTTTTTTCATAAAAAGACGCAAAGAACACTAGATGTTAGCTAAAAAAAAAAAGCTGCAAATTCCTCTTACATCTTGAATCAGCTCTTTCCTTCAGCAAAATTATCCTTTTGACCTACAGATAAATAAATAATAGTTGTAAATTATAATCTTTTTAAAGAAAATCTAGAACAAAGCAATAAATTCTATCAAAAGCATGAAGACATAAATCACCATTAATAAGAACATGTATATTCCTTGCTTGTTCCAGATTTAATATAATCAAATCTGGTGCCCAAATTTCAGTGAAACCAAACAATTTTTAGATCAGACATGGTTCTAAATGATGAAAACAGAACACCAATTACCTCTGGTGCCCAAATTTCTTCATACTTGCAAGCAATTAGCATTGAACTAATGCCGACCAACTGAAGCTCCCTCCTTGGGACAACATTCATTGAAAGGTACCGATCAACTATGTTAATTGTGAGGTAAAGGGTCTCAGGCATTAGTTCAAACATCCTGTGAACCTCTGTCAACCAGTCTATGAGAATTGATCTCATCTTTGAATTGATTTCAGGCTGCCAATTCATTATCAACATCTGCTGCATCAATGTCTACTAAGTAACAAGGAATAATATACATATACAAATAGAAAAAGTATGTACAGAGGGGAAAGAATTGATGATGAAATTAAAATTGAGAGAAGTCCACACTAACAACCTTACTTCGAGCAGTGAGGATCGAAGTCAAGGTTTTGACCTCATTCCTAGAAGACCCAACTCGCGACTTTCTTGCAATGACAGCAACAGGCTTTTTCAAGTCTGAAAAATGAAAATAGAAGAAATTCATAGATCATTTTTTGTCAAATTATCTGTTGATGCTAATTATTATCTGTTTAGAAATAATTGCTTTGGGCTATCGGTGGAGGATAGTCTTGATTGTTGTGGACAATGCATGATGATTAGGCGAATTAAAACTAATCAATTGATTATGTCATCGAATATGACGGTTGAAATAATACATCAAATTTATGTATTGACTGCTCATGTATATGATATGTGTTTATATACATTATGTTGTGTGGGAGGAGATAGGGGATGCACTCCACGGTTTAGGGGAAGATAGGGGATGGACTTCTGAACCAGATTTTTTGGGAGGAGATAGAGGATGAACTCCATTGATACAGCAAATCTGTGTATCATTTATGAAGTGTGAAAGTGTTTTAATGTGTTATTGATACAGCGAATCTGCGTATCATTTATGAAGTATGGAAGTTTTTTGATGTAATATTGATACAGCAAGTATGTGTATCTATTGTGAATTATAGAAGTGTTTTGATATGAGTTATAGTCTCATTAAATTATTAGTTAGGTTCTGAGCCTTATTCATAAATTGAGAACTGGATAAGAAATGGAAAATGGAATGAAACATGGACATATTTATCATGTAATTGAAATGAATCATGAATTGATTTATGTGAGTTAAACATTTATCAGATGCTCATGTTTTAGTTATTGCTCATATTATGTTTAGCATGTCTCTACTGGGCATTGGCTCACCGTATATGGGACATCATTTTCAGGTGCAGGTTCTATGCCACCTTCAAGGACATAGCTTGGGAGGCTTGAGGCTGTTAGACCTTTTTGTTGTTTTGTTGTATTACATGTATATCAAGCCAAGGGCATATCTTGTATAGAGTTAGTGCTCTCCTTTTGTAACCAAGAGTTGACTTGGAAAGTTGTAAGCCTATAGGGCATTTACTTTTGTTGCCAACATGTAGTACATTTTGTAAGAATACTCTGATGATTGTAATATGAAATCTCTTTTCTTTATCGTGAATGTATGATGTTATGCGTTTATTTTGAGGGCGTTACAACTTTCCCCTCTTGCATCAACACACAACCCAAACCCTCTCGTGAGGCATCACAATAAACCGCATAACCCAACCCTCTCTCCAGAATAATCAAAACTGGAGCCGTGGTCAATCTAATTTTCAACTCTTGGAATGACTTTTCACAAGTCTCACTCTATACAAATTTGACCCATTTCCACGTCAATCTAGTCAACGGTGAAGCTAGCTTGGAGAAATCTTTCACAAACCGACGGTAATACCCAGCTAATCCCAGAAAACTGCGGATCTCAAAAACACTCTTAGGCTGTGCCCAATCTTGCATTGCCTCAATCTTGGATGTATCAACAGACACCCCTTCCCCGGAAACCACATGGCCTAAGAACTTGACCTCTCCTAGCCAGAACTCACACTTTCCAAACTTGGCATACAGCCTATGGGCTCTAAGTAACTCAAGCACCACTCTCAAGTGTTCCTCGTGCTCCTCCTTAGACGGTGAATAACTCAGAATGTCGTCCACGAAGACGACTACAAAACGGTCTAAGAATTCCCGGAAGATCCGGTTCATCAAATCCATAAACACTGCCGGTGCATTGGTGAGCCCAAATGGCATCACTAGAAACTCATAGTGGCCATACCGCGTACGGAATGCCGTCTTCGGAATATCCTCCTCCCTGACGCCCAAATGGCATCACCAGAAACTCATAGTGGCCATACCGCGTACGGAATGCCGTCTTCAGAATATCCTCCTCCCTAACTCTCAATTGGTGGTAACCCGATCTCAAGTCTATCTTAGAGAAACAACGGGACCCCTTCACTTGGTCAAACAGATCATCTATACGAGGCATAGGTTACTTATTCTTGACCGCAGCCCGATTCAATTTCCAGTACTCGATACGAAGTCTCAAGGCACCATCTTTCTTTTTAGTAAAGAGGGCCGGTGCTCTCCACGGCGAAACACTTGGGCGAATAAAGCCCTTATCCAGCAACTCCTGGAGTTGAATCTTCAACTCACTCAACTCGGCTGGGGCAAAATGGTAAGGTGCCATGGAAATCGGCGCCGTGCCGGGAACTAAGATAATAGAGAACTCGATCTCTCGATGTGGTGGCAAACTCACAAGATCCTCGGGAAAAACGTCCGAGTACTCACAAACCACTTCGGCAATACAGTTTGGGTCTCATCACACTCACCACTCATAAAGCTAGCGAGGAGACCACTAAGCTCACTCCGCTCTCGTGGATCATATACCGGTGGCAACACACTACCAACCCGATCCCCCAAGAAATGGAAATAATGTCCGCTCAAGGTACATACTGTGACCCGCTAGCGGTAACAATCAATAACTACCCAGTATGACGATAGCCAGTCCATACCCAAAATAACATCAAAACCCGACATAGCCATAACTACAAATGGAAATGGAAGCCGGCGGTCGGCGACCTCTATATCGCACCCTCTACACCCTTGTTTCAAAATCAATTCACCCCCAATAGGTGATACTACACAAATAGGAGATGCAAACTGTACCAACTCCAGCCCCAAAATAGATGCAAATGCAGCAGATATAAAGGAATGAGATGCACCCGTATCAATCAATACATTGGAAACCGAGTTGCAAAACAGAAAGGTACCTCTCATAACAGATGGGGCCGGTACTAGATCCTACGCGGTAACAGCATACACACGCCCTGTAGGCCCCTGATCTACCTGTTCACCTCTCGGAGCAAAAGACTAATGCACAGACTGGGACGATGAAGCCCCCTGATTGGCCCTCGAGGCCTGAACTGACTGAGCTGGCTGAAAACTCTGCCTTGGCCCAAATGCACCAAATGTGCTACTCAACTGCGGGCAAAACCTCTTCAGGTGCCCCGCCTGACCACACTGGTAGCAAGAAAGCAGCTGACCTCTGCCCTGACTCTGGCTCTGAGGTCGAACCGAAGATGAAGCCGCTCTCTGCCCTCCTCCCTTTTGCCGGCAAGCTAGAGACTTGTGGCCCAGCTAACTACATTTATAACAGGTGATGTCTCCCTGACTGCCTCTCCTAGAGCCTGCACTCGGCATTGGAAAGGTCGATCTAGCAAAAGCACCCTGGGACTGCTGAGGGTTAGGACCCCTCTGCCTCCTACCGTCCCCCTGGCCATCTTGACTCCTCTTGGAGCCCCTCTGTTTCTCCCTCTCCTCCTACATCATAATCTCCATATGGGCTGCAGCATCCACAAGGCGCCCATAGTCCCGGGTCATAGAACCCCCAACTCTCATCTTGAGGCCATGCCTCAACTTCCTCTCAAACTCGATACAACAACGTTCCTCAGACGCCACAAGCTCATGTGCGAACCTGGATAAGCTAGTAAATGCGGCCTCAAACACGGCCATTGATAAACTCAGTTGCTTGAGCTGACAAAACTAGTCCCTCAGCTTCTCCCTGACAGCTGGAGATAAGAACTTCTCCTGGAAAGCATCTACAAAAGCCTTCCATGTGCCAACAACACGACCCCTCATGAACTTCCACCACTGTCCCGCATCCCCCTTAAGTTGGAAAAATGCCAAGGTCACTTTCAATGCCCCGTCTTTGATGCCAATCATCTCAAATGTCTTCGTCATCTGCTCCAGCCACTCATCAACCTTAAATGGCTCCTTAGGATCCCCAACAAACTCATCTGGATTAGACCAGAAGAACTCCCTCTTCAGAAAAGAAAGCCCTGCATCAACAACCTGGGCCTGAACTGGATTCTCAGCTCTGAGAATGTCGATGGATTCCCTCATAGCTCCTGCTATCTCGCGGGCTAAGGCACCCATGGCCTGTTGACCCGCTGGCTCGGCCACATTGGCCTGACCAACACCCTCCTGCTGCACCGGAACCTCATCCGGTATAGGCATCTCCTGCCTCCTAGGCCTACCTCGCCTACCACCTCGTCCTCGTCCTCGTCCTGACATCCTAATAAAGGTAATGAAGAACATTAGCACATTCACAAATATACCGAAGCTATAACACTCGCGTCCTAATGCAATGGACAACTGTAATTCACTCCACATAAGCACATAATCACATAAGCACTTACGAATTTCATTTCTGGATAATGATAGTCCCGAGGCGTTACTAGAGTTCCGGTTAGAAACAACATTGATCAAGTGCTTTTCCAACAAGACTCACAGAAACCCAAGGATCCAATCAACATCCTAGAAACTAAATCCCATACCCAAATAGTCACATAAACATGTTATCACATAAGCCTATAACACTAGACCTAAGTCTCTATCAAGCGAGACGAACCCATTGTGGTACTAACCACTTCCCACGTACCCAAAGTATTAGAACCCGGTACGCTCTGATACCAAGCTGTAACGCCCTCAAAATAAACCCATAACATCATACATTCACGATAAAGAAAAGAGATTTCATATTACGATCATCAGAGTATTCTTACAAAAGGTATTACATGTTGACAACAAAAGTAAATGCCCTATAGGCTTGCAACTTTCCAAGTCAACACTTGGTTACAAAAGGAGAGCACTAACTCTATACAAGATAAGACCTTGGCTTGATATACATGTAATATAAGAAAACAACAAAAAGGTCTAACAGCCTCAAGCCTTCCAAGCTATGTCCTTGGAGGTGGCATAGAACCTGCACCTGAAAATGATGTCCCATATAAGGTGAGCCAACGCCCAGTAGAGATATGCTAAACATAATATGAGAAGTAACTAAAACATGAGCATCTGATAAATGTTTAACTCACATAAATCAATTCATGATTCATTTCAATTACATGATAAATATGTCCATGTTTCATTCCATTTTCCATTTCTTATTCAGTTCTCAATTTATGAATAAGGCTTAGAACCTGGCCAATAATTTAATGAGACTATACTCATATCAACAATACTTCCATACGACACAATAGATACACATATTTGCTGTATCATCACTTCAATTGATACACATATTCGTTGTATTAACACTTCAAAAGATACACATATTCGCTGTATCAATGGAGTCCATCCCCTATCT